TTCCATAATAACTTGGAAATCAAGGTATTGATTCAGCATAGCTCCTAATCGATTCAGTTGGAGCCTAAATCAATCAGCATCGGCGTTTTGGCACATAATCTGATGAGGAAGAGGATGAGATGGTCGAGGATTCACCAGGTGAGGCGAATAGGGCTCATCTCGATGGAGTAGAGGTCGCGAGTCTCCATGGTGGTGGTTCGGATTAGGGTTCCAAAGATGATGATCAAAATCACGCCTGAAGGGTGATTCACATGCACTGGGAGTTTCACACAGGTCGCAGGACCTTCGCTCGGGATTAGGGTTTTTCTTTGGATGATCCATGCTTCAAAGATTTCGGAAACTATGGCAAACAGAAGAAAGAATAAGCAGAAAAAAAAAAGTTAAGGTGTTTATGAATTTGGTTTACTTCCTATGTTGCTTTGGCAGAAACTCGACATATATATAGTCTTCTGCGGCTTCAACCTCCCAGGTTTAGACCTCCAGAGACTAAAAACCTCTCTGGCAACGACGCCAAAAACTTGATGGGCTTGTGGGCCTAGGGTTATTTTTCTTACAAGCTCGTTGATCCTCTAAAAGTTTTACATGTATAAAACCCTAGTGTCTGCAAGTGCACAAATGTACGTTGTAGGACTTAAGGTATCGATCCACATGGAGGATATCTAATCTGCGAGAAACAACAAACTGGGAAGTAAGCAAAGTCATAAACCAATAAAAGTTTTGGGGTTTTTGGTTAAGATTCCTAAACTAAACTTAATCTAATATTCACAAGAAATAAAATGCAATGCAGGATGAATTGTCAAAAGAACATCTGACGCATATCGACTCAAACTTTCCAATTAGATTCCGGGCAATTTATCTTCATCTGTTTATGGGAATCTGCATGGAACTAGAATAGACATATATATGATTAACCAGCTCTCGTCACCTTTATCAACTAATCTCTTAGATCTATCAATTAACTCTCGCTCTCATGCTAAACTTAAGATCATGCATTATACATTGAATTCGTCTGCTCACATCTTCTCTATAGGTAGCTTTCGACTCCTATAGCGACTATGTTCTTCTGAAGCTAGGTACGGATGATCTGATACAACACTCTCGTGGCTCTGATCGATCCTAGGCTCAGAGAATAGGTCATGAATCTACTCTCATGCTTTATGAACAACTTAGAAGAGATGAGATCCAGAATATGGTCTACAACAATAGAAATCCTAATCGATATATATATATATATATATATATTTATATATATGCTTGTCGATATCTTCAAACAACTTGACTCTCTAGGACTAATCTACATGATGCAATGAATGATGAAAGACATAGAAGGATACAAAAGGATGAAACAGAAAAGTTAATAAGATAAAAAGGAGAAAGAAAAATGGATATGGGGAAGAATCCCCATCTCCATCGCCTAACCCTAGAAAAACAGAAGTTTGGTGGCTCAAAACCTCATTACAGGAGCACACACCCGTTTAGGACTGCTAAACAATGTATTTATAGGTCCTACGGTCTTCCAGGTCTCATTTAGGGCTTCTATAAAAAGAAATGGCGAAGTGGGCTTTGTTGTTGGGCTTTCTGGCTCTTCCAAAGGTCCACCGGGGATAGAGTCTTCTAGGGCAGGTAAAACATAAGTTTACCGCAGGTCAGTCTTCTGGGACTGGTGAACTGGGTCAACTTGTTCTCCTTGTATCTTTTGATTGCACCGTTGGATCCTTGTGATGTCAAGTGCTATGGAAAGATGGTTATCTCCTCTTGATTGTCTCAAAAGTTGAGCTGGATCAGATGGTGGAATGGCCTCCATTTGTTACCAAACATCTGGCGGTCTAATTCTGAGCTGAAAAAGTGGATTTCTTCCATTTTGCCATCATTTTCCCTAAGATTCCTGAAAAGAGCCTTGAAACTATAAATACACGTAAATCATAATAAAAGTTCCTAAAACTGATTAAAACCTTTGAAAAAACATTTGAAATCAATGGTGAAAATTGGTCAAAATCGGATGTTATCATGAGCCTAATTTTACTTTTGTTCTTTTTAGTTCCCAATCAAGATGTTTCTGAAGTTTTAGATCTTGACAGATCTTGAGACCTTCTTGTTGAACAATACTGATCAACTCTCCATAACTTAAATCATCATAATCAATTATTTGGGTTCCCGTGGAATCTCTAATTTTATTTCTAACTTTTTATCCTAGAAGGGTTGGAAGTCCTATGAGGAATTTTTCTTTCCAGAAAGGTTGTTTGAATCTTGGCGGAGTATAACCCTAGTAAGGAAAGTGTTTTTGTACCATTGGAAATCGCTAAGCCTTTTGCATTTCAGGTTCGAAAGGAGTTCGGCATTCTTATCTCTAAGTACTAAGGGATCTCCTATGAAATGCAAGGTTATGGCTATAACTAAGGTGGCTACAACATCTTGGATTTCCAAAATTATCTAGTATGGGCACATTATCCTCATTAATTTTGACGGCATCTAGGATTTCTGAGCGTTGCTGATCGTTTAGTTAGTTATCCCACCATCCTTTAAGCTGGCCCGAAAAAACCAGCTATTAGGAGCTCAACTAAGATTTTATCCTCATTTCCTACTTGAGTTCTGTAGGCGTTTGCGGCCATAAATATTTTTTGTAGGAAATTTAAGATATTGTACTCAGGTATTCCATCGATATTCCAGTCATAAACTGAAGATGAATTGAACCTAAATTGTTCTACTGTCTGGATTTGACCTAGGCCAGGGGCAGAGATTATTTGATAATCTTGATTGTTTTCCCGACCAAGAAGGTTAATATTCACTAACAAAGGATTCATTAGCTAGAGTATTTATTTGGGCTTTAGAAATAGGAGTATTGGGAATATTGGATACCTGAGGAGTGCTATTTTCTCCTATGTCTATCTTACTTAGTTGGCTTTGAAGAGCACAAATGAATTCTTTATTCGTCTCTTGGTAAGTTTTGACACTAGAGCTAGAAATTAGGAAAGGTTTGAATATGGGTTTTTTTGTTTTCTTTTCAGAGTTAGAATCTATTGGAGTGGTAGGTTGATTTTGAATCGATTTTTCGATTCTATCAAGCTGTTTGCCTATCGTTCCAAGATTCATATTTGAAAAATTGTTTTGGACGATGATATTTTTGATATTAGTCTTATCATCATCTTGGGGATGTTTAAAAGGAATCACTTCAAATAGTGTTCCCAACAATTCAAACTTGATTCCCTGTTGAGGGGGTGATTGGAACGGATAATTTTTCCATTGGCAAGGGTTTTCCATTCAGGGGTTTTATTGCGAGTGGTGATTGGATTCACAGTTTTAGAAAAAGGAATATTGATACTATTTTTGAATGCATAGTATTCAAACCAATTGAAAAATAAAATTTTGTAATTTATGTTCATAGAGATATTTGTAAAACTCTTCTTGGATTATATTTCTATTTTTTATTTTTTTTTTTGAAAAATCAAAGTCTTTTCTGGATGTTATTTTTTAGAGTAAAATTCATCACCTAAAAACTCTTTATTGATTTGAAAATATTTTCTATAACTTTTAACTCATCTTATAATATTAAAGGAGAAGTATATTTAGGAAATTGACATCGGTGTTACATGGTATATTACAATGAATGACATTGTATCAAAATATATCCCACGAACAAAAAAAAAAAACTCAAATCAAAGAGGATCCGCATCCTTTTAAAATGACCCGTTTAAAAGGACACAGATCCTTAAAATTTGACCCGTTTTGTATTTTAGGCAATTAATTATTTATTTAAAATCTTCAATAAAAACGTAATTTAAACAAAATATCCTATTATTACAGATAAACTAAAAATTTGCAATAATTGTCAAAATCATTTGAATAGATTTGCAAGATTACGTATGAGAATTAAATCTGTTTCAAATCCTGTTATGATATCTATTATTAATTATACCAATAGTTATTGTTACCAATTACAACAATACGCTCTATAATAGTATAGAAAATTCTAACCACTATCACATATCTCATTTGGTTTTTTTCCCCATATTTATTGAACACAATATATTATCATACATGTATGTTATTTATCGTATTCATTTAATTTCGAAATAAAATAATAGGTGCTCATCTTTGAACTTATACCATAGGATATTTCGAATTTATCCCGTTTATATCGCATCTCCGTGTATATAAACAATTACAACTACTTTACAAAAAAACGTTATTTGATATTTGGCATATCTATTTCAAAAATTTAAATTTCACGAATATTCTTGGCTGCCAAATTATAAACATTTAACGGCTTATCAATAAACCTTATATTTTTTTATTATAAATATACAACCCCTTCTTCCAAAACACTCCTCATCAAGTTTCGTTTTCTTCTCTGTTTTTTTTTGGTTTTTCATTATTCTTATGGCTTCCACAACGAAACTAACCCCTTTAGCTGACGTTAAGCCTTATAGGACTGGGTGAAAGGTTCAAGTGAAGGTGCTTCATACATGGAAACAATACCAAACCAAGAGTGGGGAGTCTTTGGAAATCATCCTGGCCGATGAAATAGTACAATATATTATTAATCGACATTACTTTTTATTATTTTGATTGTTCTGTTAATTTTTTTTTAACTTTTTGATCATCCAGGGTACCAAAATCAACACAACTGTCAAGAAAAATTTGCTGCATTGTTTTGAACGGATGATGGTTGTCGGTGAATGGAAGTTCATAGAGAAATTTTCATTGAATCAGGCTTCATGACAATACCGGACCACCAGACATCAATTTAAGATGTCATTCATATCCTCTACAGTTATCAGCAAACGTTCTAATCGGTCAGACAGTCTGTTTTTTGATTTCTCAGAGTTTGTTACAATATTGGATGATATAACCAATACAAGTTTTTTGGTTGGTAAATTTACTGATCTATTTAATTTAATTGCTTCATTCATCTTAGTTTCAATAATTATCTGACCTTATTTTCCTAAATAGATGTTATTGGACAAGTTGAAAGTGTCTGTGAGTTGCAAACAATATCTGTTATGAATAAGGACACCAGCAAACTCGAGTTCGCTCTACGAAATGCTAAGTGAGTATATATATATATAAATACAGACACTTTATTTTCTTATTGTTTCCTTTCATCTGTTTTATTTGATATGTGTTATAGTGATGAATGTTTACCATGCACACTGTGGGGAAAGCTTGGTGAGGAAGTCTATTCGGCTTGTCGGAGTGCGGGTGAAAGAAGTGTCATTCTTGTCATCCGTTTTGGGAAATAAACGTTTTCAAAGGTACATATTAATTTTTTTTATTCATAAATTTGTTCTTTTCATACAACACCATTGTTTTTTGTTTTTGTTTTGTTTGTTAAATATTGTAGGTGATCGTCGAATTACAAGTAGTTGTCAAACAACAAAGGTTCTGATAGATTTGAATGATCCCGATGTCATTGTCTTCAAGAATAGGTAATTTGTCTATGTATATTATATATATATATATATTATCATTACAATTACGAATACAACTAATACTATTACCTATTCTTAGTTTACCTGAGAATTGCGGACGTATTACCTTCTTGAGTAGCAAACCTCAACAAAGGGTTTCTTATGGTGATGAGATTCATTTCGATCAGTTTCCAATGGTCACTATTTAAGAATTGCAAGATTCTCTTGAGGTATATGTCATTTTCAAATTTTGCTAGGGAAAACGTCATAGATTACATAATTTTTACATTTGTATTTTTGTTTCTTCAGGTTGTAAAATGTAAGATCATGTGCACCATCTACGCGGTTGACATAGACTGGTCGTGGTTTTATTTAGTTTGCACTAGATGTGGTAAAAAAATGTACAAAATTCCAAAGAAGGAAGAACAAAAAATGACCAAGAATAATAAGACCTTTTATTCATGTGAAACATGTGATGCAAAAGTGTCCTTTGTGAATGCGAGATAATTTTTTTTACTAATTGTTTTTAGTATTTGTCTTAATTATTTAGCTAACCGTGCATTCGAGTATTTTATACAATTTTTATATATATATATATATAGGTACAAACTTCATCTTTGCGTTATGGATGATATCAGCAAGATCTAGTGTTTTTTTTTTTTGATAGAAATGCGCAGGATATTTTAAATCAGAAAGCTGATGAAATTCTCAAGGGGAACTTCGATGAGGTATTAATTGTAAATCTTAATCTATGATACAATTTTAACCATTTATGAATAAAGACTTTGTTTGTTTAAAATGTCATGTACGTTATATACTTAGATACAAGATCTGAATGTCATTCCTGATGCACTGAAAAACTTGATTGGGAAGACTTTTCAGTTTCTGATTTGTGTTGAGAAAGAAAATCTCTACGGTGGTAGTAATACATACAAAGTCAGGAAGGTTTGGAAAGGAAATGATGTTTTATCCGCTGATGAGGTGAATGAATCTGATGATATGGGTGATGAGAGTTTGCTATTGTCTGGTAATAAGATATAATTTTGAAAAATATTAGCTTGGGTTGCATATAATAATCTGTATATATTAATACCCGGTATTTGGCATTTTATGTTTATATTTATATGTAAACCTTGTAGGTGTTGCTGATAAATACGCTGAGGCAAGAGCCTTCTTATGAGATGGAAATTTGACAAGGGACTCGCTCGTGCACATGGATCTGGAAAAGTGATGGGCGTGATATAGCGAAAAAAATGGATATTTGAATTCGCATCTTCTCATGTTTTTTCTCTATTGTTGTTCAACTTTTTGTTGAAATTTGTTTGGATGATACTCGTGCATTTGTTTTTGAACTTTAATAATTTATTCTTTTAATTTAACCATTACTACGTTTATGTTATTTTACAATTTACGTTTGTATCGTGTTAATTTTATTGGGGTGAAATTAATATTGTCTTATGTTTTGCAGTGACATATTTGAGTAATTACTAGTATATGTATGATGAAGAAATTGTAGATGACTCATACACTTAATTTGGAGTACATACCTTATTTTTATATTTTTCAAGATATTTTCCAATATTTATAGAAGATATATTCATTTATTTGTAAATGCTATTCTATGGGAATTTGTGATAATTGAGTCAACTGTTAGTTAATATGTTTTAATTAGAGCGGACTTTTGGGGAATATGAAACACCTGGATGAAACGTGAGTAGTCACCTTACTTTTACGAGTATAAATAAAAGTAGAAGACAACTTTCTTCACTCAAATACAATCTTCTCTACAACTATTCCTCTCAAGTGATCTTCAGACAGACGTACAAAAACTATACAGTATTTACATCCAAGAAAAAAAATGTTTCTCTACTAATTTTTTTTTGTACATCTGTCAAGGATCACATCAGAAAGAAGTAGTTTATTTCATTTCCTAAACAGTATTATTTACATTTATATTATTCACCGTAAATGACTAATTTCAATTTCAATTCATTTTTTATGTAGATGTTCGTGGAACTAATTATTAAGTATGTAAATATTATCTTTTACATTTCATTCAGCTATCTGTAGCAGTCTTGATGGTTCGTCCGATGAGGAAAACTATATTATGGATGAAGCTGGCGAAGAAATATCATCTGACAATGAGGAACCTGAAGACTATGTTTATGATGTCAAGAGTTTAGCTACTATTTTGCAGAAAGCTTTTTATGTAGGAGTCTCTAATAATAATAATCCTTTCAGCGAATATAAAAGTATTTATTTCTAACACTCAATCTTATGTTATGTGATTCACATATTAATTTATTATAATGTCGGACTATTTTTATATTCAGAATATAAAGATGATGGCTATTCTTCATATGAGTGTAATTATCGTGGTGCAATTTTCTGGTATGGTGAACGTTTAAACAAAAGAAGAAGAGCACATAATCCTATATTTTCTTTGTGTTGTTCGCAAGGTCAAGTAAAGCTACCATACCTTCGAGATTCTCCAGAGGAATTAATGCATCCTTTTACATCTGCCGATGATCTAAGCAAACATTTTCGTGAGAATGTTAGACCCTACAATATGCTATTTTCAATGACTTCTATTGGAGGTAAAGTAGATAGGTCTATCAAAAAAGGGCGTGAACCATCAATGTTCCAGCTTAACGGAGAGAATTATCATCTGATGGGAAGTATGCTCCCTAAACCTGGTGATGTTGTGAAGTTTAACGGAGTTATTTATTGTTGACACCGATGAAGAAGTCCAAAATCATTCGACCATTATGAGGTAAACGTAATGATTAAATTCATATTTATTATTACTTTATTTTAATAATAATATATTTTTCTTGCAGCAAAAGTAAAAATCCTATGAAGGTGTCTAAATGTAAACAATTCAGGAATAAATTAATTGATAGGCGGATTAAGATGTTAGATAAGGTGAACCCTTACGTGAAGAATTTTCGAGCTGCTAGAGACAGATTGAAAATGGATCCCAACGAGGAGCTTCATATGAGACTTATAAATGATCGCCAGAAATACTCAAAGATATATAATATGCCTACTGCGTCCGAAGTGGCTGCGTTGATCCCTGGTGATCTGAATGAGGATATGTGTAAGCTTGATATAATATTGCAGAAACAAAGCGGCAAGCTGATAAGGATTAGTGAAATTCATCCTTCATACATTGCTCTACTGTATCCTTTGATTTTTCCGTATAGTGAAGACGGTTTCCATATTCGCATTGAAAAATGCTTTGCAAAGACTGGGAAGAAGAAACGGAAACGAGAATATATTAGCATGAGACAGTTTTTTGCATTTCGTATACAGGAGCGAAAGAATGAATGTCACACTTTGCTGTGGGCTAAGAGGTTATTCCAGCAGTTTCTGGTTGATGTTTTAACTATGATAGAGGCAAATCGTGTCGGCTATCTTGACAAAAACCAGACATCACTCAGATCTGAAAATCTTGATTCAATAGAAGATGCATCAAATAAAGGTAAAAAGAATTTGCGTGATCAAGGTAGAAAAATGTATTTGCCTCCTTCATTCACTGGTGGACCTCGATATATAACTCAATGCTACTTGGATGCAATGTCTGTATGTAAACTTTTTGGGTACCCTGATCTTTTCATCACCTTTACATGTAATCCAAAGTGGCCAGAAATCACAAGGTATTTGAACGAGCGGAAACTCAGTTTTGATGATAGACCAGATATACTTTGTCGGGTGTTCAAAATGAAGCTAGATTCTATGATGATGGATTTCGCTGATAGCAGACTCGGTATAGAAAAAGTTGTTTCTGGTTAGTAACTTTAGCATTATTTAATATTGACATTTGTAATATCATTATTATACAGTTTATTCATTGATATATATTTTCATAATTTCAGCCATGTACACCATAGAGTTTCAGAAGAAGGGTCTACCGCATGCACATATTCTATTGTTTTTAGATCCAACTTCTAAAATTCCTCCTGAAAAAATCGACAATGTTATATCAGCTGAGATACCCGACCGATATGAAAAGTCAGAGCTTTATGTAATTGTTTCTAAAATGATGATTTATGGTCCATGCGGTGATCTTAATCCAAGATCACCATGCATGTCTCAAGGGATTTGTACAAAGATATATCCTAAACAGCATGTTAAGATGACAGCTATTAATAAAGAAGGTTTTCCTTTGTATAGGAGGAGGTCACAGCTCAAGGATTACGTTGACAAAAATGGATACAAATGTGATAATAGATTTGTGATACCCTATAACAAAAGTTGTCTCTTCGCTATCGAGCTCATATCTATGTTGAGTGGTGCAACCAAGCTTCTTCCATTAAATACTTATTTAAGTATATAAATAAAAGAATTGATCGTGCTACGTTTGTGATTGAGCCTTCGCAAGCACAGAATGTGAAAGCTGATGGAGGAGATAACAGTATTGTGATTCCACACATGAATGTCAAGCAAAGAAGAAAAATGAGATTAAAGACTTCTTCGGCTGCAGGTTTTTTGTCAACATTTATATTTGAACTACTGTCAGAATAAAAGCTATATATTTAATTGAATATTTAGTTGTTTACTTATAACATACTATTTTATTATATAGATATGTATCTTCGTGTGAATCTGCATGGCGAATCTTAAAAAATTCAATCCACAATCGTACAACCCCCGTGGAACACCTTCCATTTCACTTACCAGGAAAACAGTTCGTATATTTCAAGGGTGATGAGATGGTAGAAACGGTTATCCATAGGGAAGTTGTAAAGAACACAAAGATGACGGCTTGGTTTGAGTTGAACAAAAAAGGCAGTAAATGTAAAACACTCACCTATAGAGAAATCCCTGTTTACTATACGTGGGATAAATCACTTCGGATGTTTAAACCAAGGAAAATATATTTTTCTATTGGAAGGATTACTTATGTTCCACGTAAACTAGAAGAAGCTTATTTTTTTAGGATTCTTCTTAATGTTGTCAGGGGTCCAGATCATTTGATGACATCAAATCCTACAATGATGTGGTATACCCTTCTTTCAAGGAAGCATGTTATGCTAGAGGATTGTTAGAAGATGACCAGGAGTATATTACTGATATTATTAGAATGAGTTTTACTGCTACCGGGTCATTTTTAAGATGACTATTTGTTATAATGCTTGTATCTGGTAGTTTGTCTCGGCCTGAATATGTTTGGGAACAAACCTGGGAAGTTTTGTTAGAAGATATTGAATACATGCGGCGACAGCATTGTAATCGGTCAGGTTTGATAAATTCCCTACTGTTTTCTTATTTATTTTATTGCATCTTTAACGGTATTATTTTAAAACGTAATGCATTGCTGAATTTGTTACTTTAGTAAACTCATTATCCATATCATTTACACGTTTTGCAGGTCTTATATTGGACGATGCTGATAAGAAAAAGTTTGCCCTTTTGGAGATTGAGAAGATCTTGAAATTTCACAATATTTCTTTGCAATTCTATACATCAACGCCTTAGCCTCCAAAAGATGGGCTTAACAACGATAATGTCTTAATAATTCATAAAAAAAAATTATGATAGACAGGCATTTAAAGAAATGCATGATAGAGACATTGTGAAGCTTACCACTGAGCAAAAGAATATTTATGATGAGATTATTGAAGCAGTTGAGAACAAAAAAGGAGGCGTTTTTTTTTGTTTATGGATTTGGAGGTACTGGCAAAACTTTCCTTTGGTCTCTTTTGTCTACTGCAATAAGATGTAAGGGTGATATTGTGCTAAACGTTGCATCAAGTGGAATCGCATCTTTGTTGTTACAAGGAGGTCGGACAGCTCATTCGCGGTTTTGTATACCTATTAACCCAGATAAATAGACTACATGTTCGATGAAACGTGGTTCAGAAGTTGTGAATTTGATAGCAGAAAAATCTCTTATTATTTGGGATGAAGCACCTATGATTAGTAAATACTGCTTTGAATCGTTAGATAAAAGTTTATCTGACATCATGCAGAATGAAAAAGGAGGTGTTTTCGGTGGGAAAGTTGTTGTATTTGGTGGAGATTTCAGGCAGATTCTACCTGTTATGCATGGTGCTTCAAGGGGAGATGTTGCTAATGCTGCATTGAATGCATCATATATCTGGGATTATTGCAAAGTTATGAAGCTAACTTAAATCATGAGGTTACTGGCAAGTGACTTGAGTGTTGAGCAAGCAAATGAATTGAAGGAATTTTCTGAATGAATTTTAGATGTTGGCGAAGGTAAAATCGCTGAGCCAAATGACGGTGAAGTAATGACTGATATTCCTGAGGAGTTCCTTATAACAGACGTACATGATCCAATCGAAGCAATATGTACACAAATTTACGGAGAACAAACATCATTTCAGGAGGAAAAAGATACCATATTTTGGCAAGAAAGAGCAATATTTTGTCCAACCAACGAAGATGTGAGCAATATAAATGAACATATGTTGTCGAGGATGACTGGTAAGTACAATAAGTTCATCTTATATGATTCTGTTTTTTGGTGTGTTTTTGGAATTTTATTCTTACTTATATCAATATGTTGAACTAATTAACACAGGTGAGTCCGGAGCATTACAAAATCCCGGTTTTACTCCTGAGTTTTTAAACAGTATAAAAGTTGCTGGACTTCCCAATCATTGTATTACACTGAAAATAGGGTGTCCTGTGATGCTGCTTAGGAATATTGATCCTAAAGCGGGATTCATGAATGGAACGAGACTTCAGATTACACAAATGGCGGATTTCATGATAGAAGCTGGAGACAAAGTTATTATTCCAAGATTGTTGATCACTCCATCTGATGCAAGATTGCCTTTTAAATTAAGACGTAGACAGTTACCGTTGGCAGTTGCATTCACTATAACCATCAACAAAATTCAGGGACAGTTGTTATCAGAAGTAGGTTTGTATTTACATCATCTTGTGTTTTCTCATGGGCAGCTATATGTTACAATAACTCGGGTAACATCGAAGAAAGGCTTGAAAATACTGATAGTAGATAGAGATGGTAATCAACAAAGGCAAACAATGAATGTTGCATTCAAAGAAGTATTCCGGAATTTAGGAAATTATCGTGATGATTAAAAAGGTATGTTTTCATTTTCGTATTCGTTCCATTAATAATATAATGCATTTATTATGTAAACGTTTTTGTTTTTATGTTTTATGTAGGGGTGAATGCGTCACTGTATTCTTATGGTTATTATATGATTCTGCTCGGTGTTGTTTATCGTTTGACGTTGTTATAGTTTTCAATTAAACAATGTATGTCGAACCATTTGAAGTATTTTTTTGTTTTTTGAAATACAGTGTCATTTGGTTAATTATTTTGGGTTTTTACGTAGAAGTGTTATGTTTGATATGGCCCATTTATGATAGAAACTAGATAGAAGTTTATATTTTAGTATACTGACCGTTTCTATTTGCAACTTTTTATGTTTGGATTTATTTCGATTGAGTATATAGGGACCAATGTTTACGTTCATATATATCGAACTGATAGTTTATGATGACGTGTATGAGATAAATCAGTCTCGAACAGATTGAATTGTAAGTAGTTTAGACAATAGATTCTGTAAGGTACACTTATGGTACTGTTGTCTGACACAAAGGTTTAGTTATGATACACTATAGTTATAAAAAACTATTTTATTTAATGTTTTAGGCTTTACAACTAGCGAATAACAGTACCGTAATTGTACCATAAAGACTGTGATGAATCAATTGTCTTATATATAATTAGACTTGAATTTTGAAAAACTATATTCATCTATCATTGTTTAAAATCGATATTCTTGATTGGAAAATAGTTGAAAGAGATAAAACATCAGCTAACAAGATATTACTTTGAAAACCTCACAAATTAATAATTAATCCATGCGCAAAATACAGCTATATTGCAACCTCGATTGCATCTAAAAGAAACATACTGTCTATTTACTTTAGTGCATGCACTCGAACCTACCATCTTTATGTATCATACCTATATTCTACAGCATGAAGATTTCATTTCATGTAAGTGAATTATCACATTAATAAATTTTTGGTTGCATGCACTAAAGTAAATAGACAATATGTTATTTTAGAAACTAACCATCATGATTTACCAAAGGATATTTACTTATCGCACTTATATTATCCATATTACATGATATATCAAATCCAAAATGTAGCAAACTAATTGTTAAGTAATCGCATTACTTATCATTTAAGATAATATATAGTATAGCAAACTATAGTATAGCAAATCATCTTGAAATAAATAAATCTCATTTATTTACACAATTTAATTTACTAAAATTTTTTCTTTTTTAAAAAAAAAAAACGGGTTTTAAAAATATCAATTAGATTTGCCTTTATATCTTCCACACCCTTCCCCACAATGCCTTGGCAGTTAAAGTACATCGTTTATTTCGCTTTATAAGAATATCTCTATCAGAAGTAAAAAATCATCCACTCTTTCTAATCGATACTTAACTAAAATCATGGATTACCCAAGAATCCATAGAGATGAGATGGAAGATTTATGTGACGTTTGTCAATGTTGGGCTATTGATGCGAAGATTTTGAGTATTTGGAGGCGTTCTTCAGATGGCGGAGAGAGTATTCATATGGGATCATAAGGTACAATTGCAGAATATGAATTTATCATTTTTTAATAATTTTTTTATCATATTGATTCTTCTTACATGTTAATTCCTATCAAATCGGTGATGAACAAGTTTTAATTGTTTAGGGTTTAGTTAAAAATTTGATTTGCTTATTTGATTGTATACAATTGTCTGTATTGTTCGGGTGTGAAAATTTCTGCTATTATTTGGCCGCAAGATGCGCGTTTTCTATAAGATAGTGTACGAGAAGGGGAATGGAAATTGTTTATGGGCTTCAAAGTGTGTCTAGATGTAGGAGATCTGAGGCTAACTCGCTATAAGTACTATATTAGACTCAAGAATGGTCCATTATTTTTGATATCCTGCTAAAGGCAGATCACTACTTTTTGGATGCAGCCAGAATTTTTGATATTCTGCGGAAGAAAACTAACCCGAATGTTTTGACGGGTAAAAACATATATTATGAACATTCCCTTAATGTCTTCCATTTCCAAATTTCAGGTTTATTTTTCTTTATATAGAATTAGTTGGAACTATTTCTGCCGTCGAAAATATCTTGGCTCACGCTGGAGAGGATACATTAAGTTTTGACATCGTGGACGAAGAGTAAAATATATTTATTTTTAATTATACATATATAATTAATTATATATCATATTGTATATTTTACTAACTTATTTATAATGTTCATGATATAGAGCATGTATTATTACATGTTTTGCTTTTGGTGAGACTGCTCAAGAGTTTTATGATCAGTGAAGGCATAAAGGATCTTATCGCTGAGTATGTGTTCTCCGATTTTGGGTTATTAAGGAAGGTAAGTGTTATTATAACTGAAAACTTAAAACAATGTGTCTGTTTATATGAATTAGGTTAAACATTCACACGTGACTTATAAAAATATGTAAAATTATGCAGATCAAAACAATGGGAGAATGTATGTTAAATATCTTAAAGGTTGTTCTCGGTTTTGATTGATCTTTCAATACAAGAGGTTGTTGACTTCAGAAATAGGTAAGAGGTTATTTACATTATATGTTATGATATATATATATATATATATATATATATTTTATGAATTGTATATTGAAGTATACATTTGTGTTTTATCCGAATTAATAAATCTCCATCATCTTTTTCATGTTATAGTATAAATCACTTTATATTTATTTTTATTAACAAGTCTCCTTATATATATATTTTGTAGGTTTAACTTGGAGATGGATTTAGGTTCAGTTTGTGATAATTTTGTGTTTTGTAATATGTACCAATATTTCTTCATTTGACATAATTTTAACTTTGTTCTGAAACTGTTTTATTTTTCACCCATGGGCTAAATACATTTGCAATTATATTTGTTTCGTTTTTGGTTCATGGGGCCAATCAATTAGTTTGCTATATATATATTATAAAATGCTGGGCTTTCAAGTTATCATACCAGATGATTGTAATACAAATTGATGAGCTTTTATTGTTTAAAATCTGTAAAACTATCAACAATTTTGCTTTCTATACCATATATACACTTAGAAAATTTGCATTTTAATTTGCCACTTGATTGCTAACATATACTTAAAATATACCTCTCCATATCATAAACATCAGACGTATTGATGTTTAAACTCCCATATCATTCCATCCATAACATTCAACTCTATATATATACTGAACTAAACTATTGATGGATATAACTTATGATTTATTTTTCATTTTAGCCAACCAAATCACGTCCGCCCACCAATGGGCAGGTTAGAATCTAGTATACCATATTATCTATAACAGCTAAGAAAGTAGGACTTGTTGGCTTCGATTTTGTAGAAAAGTCATTATGTTGAAATCTACTTTTTGCTTTGTAAACAGGTTTTGGGATTTGTGTTCGAAAATCAACATTTCTTAAAATAAAATATGAAATATCAGAAGTTGAAAGCAGTAGTTGGAATTTTGGACAAGGCCGCTTTAGCAGCTAAATCAGCAGCAACATTAAGATTCCTAGGGATAAACTTGAAAGTGATTGAGTCAAAACAATTCGAAAGGATCTTGATGTCCTCAAAAATTGCATGAATCTCCGAGATGCACGAGTCAGAGTTGATGGCTCGTATCAAGGATAAGGAGTTGGGTAAGACCAATATAGAAACTATGCCTTCCGCGGCCGCTTGTTTCAGAGCAGCTATAATCACGAGGCTTTCCGCCATGAGGGGGGACATGACATGGGGTTCTATCTGGGAGTAGGTGCGATGGATGGTGTCACAACGGGAGAGAATGGTCCATCCAAGGCCTGCTATCTCCTAGTTTGAGTTCCAAGCCGTGCCAGTGTGGCACACCGTTTCAGCGTCGATCCCAAGATATCTAAAGACACCACAGCTTTAAACACATTGGTTTTACCCGAATTACCTGTTTGCCATTCTTTTGCATCGGAGATGGATTTGTTGACCACTTTCTCTACAGTGAAGGCCATCCCATTATAATTCAGTTGTTTCTAGCTTTCCACAGGTTCCAGCAAATCCATGGGTCAGAGCTCCTTTGTTGAGCGCCGTAAATCCCAGACATAAAGACTTCCTGGCTTCTTTCCATTTGCTCGCAAGAACTTCAGAATTCAAAGACCAAGGTTCCGGGTGGAAAGGAACGAGCTCCCAAACCTTCTGAGCAAAAGGGCTAAGGAACAGAAGATGCTCCGAGGATTCAGGTGCTTGGCATATTCGATAGTCAGGAGAGACACTTGGAATGCGTTTTGCCAGGGCTACACCAACCGGCAAAGCACCATTTGCAGCCTTCCAAAGGAATGTTTTGACCTTGGGAGCAGAGGAGATATTGCAAATGTCGGAAGACCAGTCCAAAGGATTTACAAACTGGCTTGGGGATGATTCTTCCAAGGCAGCAAAGTAACCAGATTTCGTGGAGTAAACTCCAGACTTATCTCTCAGCCAAATCCGTTGTCCTCCACATCGTGTAGGCTGGGTTTGATCTTCAGGATTATGTCCTCCAACTGTTGAACAAGATCACAGATCTTATGCAGGTTCCAACTTCTTTAGGCTGCATCAATGAGTTCCAAAACAGTAAGATTCATGTTTTGCTCTGCACACGGGCCTCCAGGGTCAAATTGGGAAGAGGTTGACAGCCATGCCTCAGACCACGAGTTTACACTCCTTCCATTTCCAATTGCCTAGCCCAAATGTTTCCCAAGTAGATCCATTCCAATGAGAATACTCCTCTAAGCGTGGGAGGCTGAGGCAGGGCAGATGAAATCCAAAAAACTTGATTTGTGACAGTATTTTCCAAGAAGAACTCTAAAGAGGAGACTTCCAGATTTTGTCAGGATTCGCCAACTCAGATTTGCAAGGAGGGCATCGTTAAAGCAGGAGATATCTCCAAAATCAAGTCCTCCATTTCCTTTGCTCTGGGTAAGCTTTTCCCAAGAAATACAACTCATGTTTTTCTTTTCTGCGCTACCATCCCACCAGAATCTGGTGAGGGTAGATTAGATTCTATGACACAAAGATTCAGGCAGCTTGAAAAAAGTTATAGCGTAAGTTGGCATAGATGATAGCACACTTTTCAAAAGAACCATTTTTCCTGCACTAGAGAGGAAACAAGATGACCAGCTGAGGGTTTTTGTCTGATTTCGTCAATGATTCCGGTGAATAAATCTTTCTTGCATCGGCCTAAGTAGTTGCCAACACCACCTTCCTTGGAGATTTGTAGATTTCTTTTGACCCTCTCTCTGATCTCAGCAGGGGTTTTCTGAGACAAGCTGATGGAGGATTTCTCACGGTTAATAGATTGGCCAGAGGCAGTTTCATACTTTTGCAGGATGTCTAAGAGAGCTTTAGTGTTTCCTTCATTTGTGTTGCAAGAAAACATTGTATCCTATGAAAACAGCAGATGAGTCAATCTAGGGCATCCTCTAGAATCTCTGATACCTTGGAGAGACCCATTTGCCTAAGCTTTAGCACAGAGACCTGAAAGCACTTGGCTGCAAAGAATAAATAAGAAAGGGATAAGGGGTCTCCTTGCCTGATTCTCCTGGTTGGAAGGACTTGTCCTTGAGGACCATCATTCAGCAGAAAGACATATGACACCGTGCTGACACACTGCATTACCCAATCGACCCACCATTGGTGAAACCCAAACCGCAGGAGAACAGCCTTGATAAAATTCCAGTCCAGCCGATCATAAGCTTTGCTCATTTCGGTTTTAACCGCCATGGAGCTATAAACCTGGCCTTAGAGGTCTTAAGCTGGTGAAGCATCTCATGCGTAATGAGAACAATATCCGATATAGCTCTGCCAGGCACAAAAGCAGATTGATTTTCAGATATGAGATCCGGGAGAATGGGTTGCAATCTTCTTGTGAGGATCTTCGAAATTATTTGGTAGTACACGTTACACAGCTCTATCGGTTTGTAGTCCGACATCTTCTTTGGACCAGAGCACTTTGGAATGAGGTGGATGAAATTCTCATTGCTTGTCGGAGGAAGAACACCAGAAGAGAAAAACTCTTGGATTTCATTAACAATCTCTGGGCCAACAGTATCCCAATTTGATTGGAAAAAGCTAGCAGAAAACCCGTCTGGCCTGGGAGCTTTATCTGCATGTATGGAGGGCTCAAAATCAGAGAGTCATTAGTTTCCTTTGAAACTGAAGGTTTGATGGCTTCCTCCAAGATCAAGATTCTGATGTTATCCTCAGCAGTGAAGAGCTTTTCGAAATATAACACCACCACTTCCACGATCTGGTCTTCTTCAAATTTTGGGATCCCTTCGTCATCTTCGATCACAGAGAAACTGTTAACGGCTGTTCTGTTTTTCGTGATCGCGTGGAAGACGCCCGTATTACGGTCTCCCAAGCCCAGCCAAAGATTATGAATGTTTTGCTTCCTGAAATCTTCCTCTTCAGTGTACGCAGATCACAGTGATTCATTCAGGCGAGCAATGAGATCGCCGTCATTCACCGGTGCCGTCATTGCCTCTTCAAGAACTCTCTTTCCCTCCTCAATTCTTTTTTGACTATTGAAAAAGTGGGCTTAATTCCATTCGATAATGGCCCACTTACACTTTGATAGTTTTTGGGCTATGGAACCAGATGGGTCGAGACTCCAGACCTCTCTGATTACACCCTTGACTTCTCCGTTCTCGCGAAGACGTTGATCAAAACTAAAGATACTCTTCTTCCTCTTCCTCGATATGTCAAAATGAGAAATTACAGGCTGATGATCAGAACCTTCAAAACTGAGGTATTCACTTCGGCCAAATGGGAATTGCTCAGCCCAGTTGCTGTTTTGATAACACCGTATTTTGACCACTTTTAATGATCATTTTGAAATACTTTTTCTATGTTTTTTATTTCTTTCAAGTACTTTTATTACGTTTTTCTAGTATTCGTAGTTCCAAGACTCTTTTCAGGAAACTTAGGGAAAAGCTTAACAAAATGGATAGAAGACCAGATTTTCAGCTCAGAGTCAAACCGTCAGAAGTTCACCCCCGATTGAAGGCCTTCTCACCGTCCGATCCAGCTCAAATTTGGAGATCTCAAAAATGGAAGTATCAGCTTTCCATCACATTTTACAGCTTGGCAATCCAACGATTCAATCAAAAGATACGCAAAGAGCAAAATGTCCCGTAAACCAGCCGGCAAGCGTTTCCACCCGCGGCCAACAGCCCATTCCCCGCGGTCACAAGCATCCCGACCACGGCCAGCCATCCATTCCTTGCGGTCACGCACATCCCGACCGCGACCAGCCCACTCCGAGTTCGAAGGCTCATTTCTGAAGCCCATATCATTTTCCCAACCTCAATTCCGGAAGCCTTGACACCAGAGAGCATTGGAGACAATACATATCATTTAGGTCATTTTTAAGGAGAGAAGAAGAGAGACGAAATACTTTACAGAAATTTTACTTTAAGCTTTGTTTTTAGGTTTTAGGGAGAGAGAGACTTGTCTCTTGAACCCTTGTTCTTTCTTTTTCAATTTCGACTTTTGCTCTACTTTTTAGTACTATGTTTTTGATTTTGTTCATCATGTCTGAGTAGTTTTATTGTTGGGTCTAAGGGATATTCGATGGAGATATATATGTTCGATGAAGATTCCATGAGCTATTGAGGCGAATCTTAGAACTTTTTTTCTGAATTTGTTTTTACTGCATGAGAGTAACGTCATGAACTACAATCTGATCCAGATGCTTGGTGACACGAAAGTGTTCATCCGGTGTCAGATCTAGTTTGGGAGAGCAAAAAAAACATAGAAGTGGAAACCTACCTATGGGCGATTTGTGAATGCTGACGAGTCTTAAACATAATGCACCTCTTCTTTTCCTGGGCCAGAGTGGAAACCTTGTGGTCAGTGTTGAGAGAGATAGTTGTTTATGATCACAACAGTGGCGTATTTCATACGTCAGTGACTTCAGTTCGAAAAGTTTAAGCTAAGATCTTATCAAATTTACTCTCTAGCAATGTTTTGAATCGTTCATACCCCTGAGAAAAATTTCCTGAACCCCAGCGCCTTCTTTTCTATAGATTCACACCAATTAGGTTTTGCCATTTTCTCATTTTTAGCCGTTTTCGTTAAGTTTAGTTATTAGGTTATTTTAATTCCCGTATATTCTCTTTAAGATTAGTTTTTACGTTTTAAAGACACCACCAAAACCCTCACAAAAATCTCCTGGTTCTAGACTTCCTTACTTTATATTTCTTTCGAAAGCTTTTGCAGGAAAGATCCTCCTTCCCTGTGGATTCGATCCCTAAATACTACAATCGATCAGCTGTGCACTTGCGGCTATTGATTTCATTTAGGGTAAAACTTGACACCCTCGACACAACCACATCAAGCCCCATCAAGTTTTTGGCGCTGTTGCCGAGGAAGACACACGTTTTCTTTTCCGCAAAACCCTAAGAAAGGTTGTTAAATCAACTCTAGAACACCTTTTCTACTTATTTTCGTTTTTGGTTCTTCTTGTCTCTGGTTATGAAGCAATGAACTATATGAAACAAAATTACTACTATGAGGGAGGTTTTTATAACACTCCTAAAGCCACTCGACGCCGATAAACACAATACATTCGTGATCTCTCCTCAGTGGATCAGAAATCAATTCCGAACCACCACACAAGGGGACTTCGCAGCCACAACAAATTAATTCGTGAAGTTTTAGAGGAACAAGGATTCTACAAGGACCACGACCCTTATTCAACTTACAATGCCCACATAGATATCCATGATCCTCTCTTTGATGAAGATATGTCATCTGTCTCCCAAACCGAGATTGATGATATGCTTCAAGAGCTCATTGAATCTATGGATGACGGGTATTGGGTAGCTTGTGAAGTAGATGGAGAATCCACCATGAAATTTGTTAAAAAGAGGCCATCAAATGAAATTCTTTTAGATCATCACGTCATGGAAGCGAGTCATCAAGAAAAAAGAGAACCTATTTCTATCCCTATTGACGATCTCGTCTCTACCGATTTGTTCAAGTGTTTTGGAGATGACAAACAGGATCATAATTCACTTCCTCTCGATGAACCAAAGCCTCTTTCTCCTTCAGCTCCTCACCATCTTGACTGTGAGACAGACCACGTAAAAGATGAGACACTAATGGTGACATCAAAACCACCATTGGAGGCGCCTTCTAAGACGAAGGATTCCGAGAAGTTTGATGCCGCATTCTAAATCAAGGCAGTGAAATTTCGTGATTCTCTTTGTGATACTGGACCTGATGTGAATCTCATACCAAAGACCATTTCAGAGAATATAGGTATTTTGATTTTTCATCCTTCTAAGATTTATATTCACTATGGAGATATTTCTGGTGCAGGCCCACTTGATTTCAAACCCGAATTGCCTTTTGAAGGGATATTTTGTCTTGTTTCTAATGATTTCCATGTTATGGAGATGAGAAGGGATGAAATGAAACCCTTGATATTTGGTACTTCGTTCCTAGCATCTGTTGAAACACTCATCAACTACCCGAATCAAAAGATGTGCTTATCAAATATCAACAAGAAAACATCACATCCGGCGATTCCTACAAGGAACTCTCATTGTATGATCATTGGAAGCGTAGATGATCCAATATTTGACCCTGGAGGAGCTAAAAAGGATGTTGGATACGTTCTAGAAAGAAGATCACCCAAAAAAAACGCCGGATTTACAAGTTTGACGAACAAAGGTATTTTCTTATGTACACCTTTAACCAATGCTCATATGAGAGGTGATGGAGACTTAATTGAAGCAAGAGTGAAGCATAAATGGGCCTCAAGACTCCGTTCCGAAGACTATCCACAAGGAAAAAGAATTGGAGACAGAAGCAAGAGGGTTTGGACATCTATCCTAGGACATTCGGCACCGCGGTCGCGTGTGCGCTACCAGCGGCAAACCCATGTTTCTCCGCGATCGCGACACTTGCACCTGCTGCCAAACCACCTTTCCCCGCGGTCGCGACATTTCCACCCGTGGCCAATGCTCTTCAGACTAATCTTCCAATTATTCAAGCCATGGCGACACTTCTCCAAGCAAACTGTCCTCACCTTGGATGCCTAACTTTCTCCACCACTTCAAATCATAAAGAATCATTTGTCCCTGTATCTTGCAACATGGTTTGATGCTATGACGTGAGAGGGACATTATTCACCTCAACATACAAGCTTCCAAGACATTCTCCTATCATAACTGGTGTTGAAGACTCATACCTCAAAGAAATTCCAAGACTGATTTTTGATCCTGTAGGAGGCTACCATCTCAAACCTAATGACAAAATTTCGAATTGGGAATGGCGTTATAAGGGATATACAAAGGAAAGACAAGGAGAATCAAAGAGGACTTGTCCCAAGACATTGCCTTTTAAGGACTAAGCGACGTCCTACACCAAAGTCGAGCTAAACGACTTTAAACAAAGCGCTTAATGGGAGGCAACCAATTTAGGTATTGTTTTCTTTATGATTTTTCTTTCTTTTTATATTGATATTTCTATTTTTCTTAGTTTCAGGTGTTTCTTATAAAAAAAAAGCCAAAAAAATTAAAAAAAACCAAAAAGACCAAAAAGAAGGATGGTCCCTGACTGCTCGGCCCAGCAGGAGCCAAGGAGAAGCAGGAAATAAGCCGCATATAAGCTCCCGCGGTTTCAGGCGTTCTGACCACGGGAAATAGCCCTTCGACCGTGGCCGCGCGTTTCTGACCGCGACCGAGCACTGGTTT